AACTGTTTAGATACTAAGGAAGTCTTAAATACATAATAGGAAGAAAAGGCAAAATGAGCAGGAAAGCCACAAAATGCAGAACTTTGTTCCTTTAGCATACCATGCATTTTTAAAACTGAAGTAAAATGTAAATTGTAACATTTGGGCAAGAATATTGCTTATTGAAGGGCATAATAAATGAATCCTTTTATCAAAGAGAGCTTTAAGTGAGTTTCATAGCAAGAATTGAAGATATGGATCATGAGGCTATTGCATTATTTAATGTGGAATAGAACAGAAAACGAGAAATCTTTTTGTGCTGGACTGACAGAGTACCAGGGTATTGTAAGAAAATGCCCCCTGAGCAAGTTCCTCGGTTTTATTTCCCTGTGACTTTCTCTGAAGCAGTAGATGCTGTTTGGTTGGCCACCCCTGGATTTTGGATGAAATCATCTGCGCAGCAGTTCCTATTGCCCTGTGTCTGTGTCTCACTCATGTGGTTTGTTTAATGTAAACCTCCTCAATTCTTAGCTAAACCAATGTAAAGCTCTGTGTGGCCTTCATTAAGTAGACTGAAGTGGTCTTGTTGAATTTAATCAAACCTAAATAAAGCTTTTAAAATTCTGTGTGAGATGATTCATGCATAAACTTGTACTGGTTGCATTAAGCTGATGTGGTTATTTATCTCAATGTTACTCATGCAGCTTTTACATGTGCATGGCATTTACAGCTCTCTAACCCCTTTTTCTGAAAGTGTTGCTCTTCTAGCATGAGCTTCTGCTTGAACTTGCTTTCTTTTGCTTAGAGATACGCTTTCTAGTACCCTGGTTTGGTAAGTCATGCTTCCCAAGATCCGTTTCACTCATTCAAGATACCCAGGTTGTTTCCTGAAGAGACTCCGTAATTTCTGCATATCAGACTCTATCCTGCTCACTGCTGGTTTTCATTGAAGTAGGGGTTTGAATGTGGAAAATTGTTAAAGGATTTGTGTTTCTATGGTAGGGTTTGAATCCATTAGCCAAAACTTGCGTGGTATGGAGATTGGGAAGGAGAGGGGCCAACACATGTCTGTAAAAGCAGCTCTTCTCCCACCTCACCCTTTGGAAAGGCCTTTGACTCTGCTCTTGTCTGGGCCTGGTTTTAGCTCTTCACATAATTCATCTAAGTATCCCTTCTAAATGCTGGAAATGAAACCTTGAAACCTTCCATCTGTACTTGGAGACAAAGGAATTCCCAGCCTTGTTTGTGTACGCAGCCCGTATACATAGACCTCTGCTTTTAAATAAATCCACTCTGTTTTTGAACCTAGTGATAACCACCGAGTACTTCAAGCTTAGGAGACAAGTTTTTGTGCTGTCTTTAATACCTCAGTTCATTCATAATTATTCCTAGGAACCTTCTTGCCATTCAGCATGAGAGTCACCATAAGATATGCTTAATTGTTTTTAACAGGTTAGTGCTAGAATTGTGTGCTTGGAGAGAAGTCAACATTGCTGTTTCATCAGCTTATTGAGAAATGGTGGTTCTTGTTTTTCTTCAACCATGTTTTGTACTGGTTAAAAAAAAAAAAAGTCACATTTAGGCAGAGTGGACGAATCCATTTCCTTGATAGCCTTTGAGGAAAGGCTTTATGCTTTGCAGCATTCTTCAGGCACTTAAATATTTCTAGTGCGCAGAGTAATTTTCCACTTAAGCTGAGCTTAACTCTTTAAATGAAGACAGCATTAGAACAGACAAAAAAACACTGAAGCTGTGGTACCTTGTAGTGGATACTAGTGGCTGTGTGGAGTGAGGACAGGGTAGGCACACGGTGCTGCTTCCCATGTAGCGCTCCGAAGCTGAAGACGTTTTCCGAGCCAGACATGGCATCTTTATTTAATAACCCATGGATAGATTTACTGCACCTGTTATTAAAACTGTTTCAAGGGAAATATATCTCTTTAATTACTGTATATTAGTCACACAGGCTGGTTTTGATGATCAAATGATCCCTGTTTGGAAAGACAAAAATTTAATATCTTTGAATGTTTGCTTAACCACAGAGACCTGATCCTCTCTCAAAGGGGACTGACACTGGGGAAGAAGAGTCTGGAACTGTCTTAATAACATGTTCATTTATTTTTATTTTTTTATTCACAACCTTCCTGCTATGAAACCGTAAGGTGGATGGTTGTTCCCTTTTCTTTGCAGTGTCTACTTACAGATATCTTGGAAGAACATGGATATTTAATATTTATTCAATATCTACATGTGCACTGCCACCATTTGTTATCTACATAATTTTAGTCTTCCATCTTGCTTAACAAACAGTGTCCAGACTCTTTATTTTTACTGTGTGGTTAGTAGAGGTCTTTCCATCAAAAAAAGTACATAATGCTGCAGCTGTTTTTTTCTTACTGCTGTGCCCCTTAAATGTCATCAAGTTTACAGAACCGAGGATGTGAACAAGTGTATTATTCGTTTTTAAAGAAAATAGCTTGCAGCCTCTATCATATTTGGCCCCTCTGACTAGACTTAAAAAAATAAAATAAAATAAAATACAGGCTTTGACGAAAGAAGTGTGGAAGTGCTGTGCTATATTTCTTCGTTACTGAGGCAGCTTCTTTTGCTCCAAGAGACAGCTTCTGTTGTCAGCAGATGGTCATTGGTGTGTTAATCCTGCGGTACAAGAACCTGTATTTGCTCTTCATATCCTACAGATACAAAATAAAGGATATTTTTGTCTTTTGACCAAATTGTGTATGTTACTAAAGAGTATTGGGGTGGGGAGGGGAGATGTCAATTCAGAAAAACCCAAACAAACCAAAACCTCTCACTTCTTCCTGGAGACTTATTAGATGAACATGATCAAGAGCTATGTATGACTGCAAAAACCACAGTGATGATAAACAAGACACGTTAAAAAGAAACCACTGATTATTGCCATGCACAGCGGATAAACTGATTTAAAAAGTGTTCTGGTAGGAAGCTTTGTTTTCACTGTAATTTGATGCAGCCTTATGGGTAACTGCTGTAGTTTAGAGATACCTGCAGCCCTTCTGCTTGTCTGCTTTTTCTGCTGTCATTAGTGTAATATTTTATCTAAATAAATGACAAGTCTTATTCAGTATCATAGTTTCTTCACTGAGTTAAGTAGTAGTGCATTTTAGACTTCATTATTAATTCTTATTTATTAATGGAAATTGTAAAACTTCATGCTTATGTATTCAGAGAAAAAGCATCAGGTTTAAATCTGGATTTACTCCACTTTTGTATTTATTGGGCACTTCTTATTTAAGCCACATTTTTTAATGTTAAGTTGTAAAAATTATGATAGATTATGACAGTCCGTAGTTCAGTTACAGTATTAGATTTCATCCTCCTGAAGCACTAAATAGTCTATGAGCCTCTAAATTTTAGCTGTATTCATCAAGGACCAGATACTTATTCACCAGGTATACTGGCCAGCTGTTCAGGCATAGCTGACATATTATAAGAATGGATAAAAGTGATAGTAGAAATTGTGGTAGCAGAAATATAGGAATTGGTGGTACAGCAGAAATAGAAGATCAGTGAGATGCTACAAGCTTTCTTCAATGTCACCCTCAAGCCTACCAAATTAAAAAAAAAATAGTGTGAAAACAATAGTGATTATAAAGATTATCAAAACTCAAAATTAGCATTTCAATATTTTTTTTTTTAAACGTATTTTTTCTCATTCCTTGTCAAATTCCCTCCAGTGCTATTCCTCTTTATGTGCCCATTGCTGAGCCCTGCTTAAAAGCCTTAGGTGAGGTGGGGTTCTGACATCTCTACTCCCGTATCTTCCAACAATAATCAGAACAGAATTGAAACAGCCGAGTAGTGAAATGTGTAAGCCATTGTTGCTAGCTCGTGTGGTATCACTTTCACTGCACTTCAAGTCTGAAAAATCCTAGCATCAAGGAGAACCTTGTGGAACCTTTTTTTTTTTTTTTCTTTTGTGGTATAAAGCAGCCTGCAAGAAGGTATCTCCTAAATACTGTTGAAGAGAGTCTTACTCTTTTCCAACTTTTTTGCTCTTCCTGACTTTGTATATGCTTTGGTTGATATATAAATGTACATAGTGCCAGATGTGCTGGAAATGCGTTACAGCTTCCCACAAGGTAGAATGGCTCTATGCTGGATCAGGCTGAGAAAACAATTTTGTCAGAAGTGGGTTTTTGGACTTGAAACTGGGGCATGTTGTGTGGCTATTCTAAACAAAAGACATCTTAATATCAAAGAGATATTATTACAAAACTTTTATAGGTAATACCTCTGTAATTTTAAACAAGAGGCCTAATTTGGTTGCAACTCGCCAGGTTTGGGCCCAGTCTCACACCTACACTTAAGTAATATATTGTTTAATTTGATAATCTGAGCAGCATAGGATGATACCTAGCTGCATAAACTGTATTTAAAAAAGATTTCCTTTTGTGTGTGAAGATTGGTTGAATTTGAGGAGGGGTAGTGTTTCTGTGAGTCTGTGGCACATATGTACACTGCAGAGACTAGACCAGAAGACTTCGAACTTGGATGTATGTGGTGTATGTATGGGTGTATGTGCAGCTGAGCAGGATTTTAGGTTTGTGTAGGCCTGATACTTCTGGGAAACACGAGAACTTCTGTAAATGTACTTGTCTGTGCACAGTTAGCTTGACGTGTCTGAAAGCTGCATTTTTAATACTTTGTACGCTTCCTACGATTTACTGAGCACAGGCCATGCACTTGATTCCTGTGCATTACACCTTGGAAATCCATCACACACACACAAACAGGAGCCTGAGCATCAGTTCATGTTCATTTCCAGCTAGATAAGTTTTATTTATTTTTTTATTATTATTATTTTAAGAGTGTATTTCAATGGCAATATTGTTTACCAAGAATATTCACTTAGTGGAGAACATTTTACAATACATTTTAAAGCAAGTTAATCACTTCTTAAAACATACTAAAGGAATCTTTCTGATTTATTGTTATTTCTCTGCATGTTTGATTGAAAACTTATTTTTTCCTTTCAGGCAGCTATAAATGGTGTAATACCACAAGAAAACGGCATTCTGCAAAGGTAAGCACAGAGCGCTGGAGTAGTACGCGCAGAGAATGATGCTGTGTAATGGTTACGGTTTTGCTCCTGAATCCGAAGATGGTGATGTACTTCCCCTTTTAAAGCAGTTTCTTGAGCCACAAATTCAATACCTGTCAAGGCTGATTTAACTTTTTTTTTTTTTTTTTTTTTTTTTTTCCCCCCGTACTGGTGGAAAACCAGCTCAAACACCTATTCAAACTAGTTAATTTTTATTCTAAATTCATTTGTTGTTAGGTCATTCTGTAGGACTGTCCCTTTACTAGGTCTGGATGTTGATACGCTTTCTAGGAAGTCAGGACTTTGTTTTGTTATTTTTTTTCTTCCCCTAAAGGTGTAAAAATTTGCAGGACAAAACTTATGCCTGGCTAAGTATTTTCTTTTTCCTTACGCATTTTTAAGGATATCAGTATTCCATATACCTCTGGCCAAAAAAATGTTTGTTTATTATAAGTGAATTACATGCAGCAGATATTGTACTAGATAAAGTAAGGTTGCTCCCTTCTAAAAGGAGCTTTACTGACCATCTTTCAGCTTCTGAATTAAATTTTGGCTTGTACACTGATGCCTGCATATCTTGAAGTCACTGACATATGATATCCTAAGTGCTGATGAGGCAATTGAAAACAGCAGAACAAGAATTGAGCTACTTGGGAGAGGCAGTAAAATAGCATTTTAGATGTTGTTGAAGAAAATACTCAATGTACTATTTTTAAAAGGTTTGTTTTGATGATTAAAGAAGATAAATTATGTAGGTAAAGTGGTGTTTTGGCATATATGTCAATACTCACTAAAGCTATCATTAAATATTTTTTTTTAATTCAAGATAAAACCTTATTTGCTCAGTAAAGTTACTAGGTGTTTATTTATGGCTAGGTCTGCATAGTCCAATTCAGAACAAGCCTCTGTGTCAAGCACTATTTCTACCTATTAACATAAGCAGAGACACAGAAACAGGATTTGTTAGTAAGTCCTGACCTCAAAGCGTTTATATTCAAAATACCAGAATGCTTGCAAGCATTTTGTCAGGGGAAGGATCTAGGGGGTAGTTATACCCAACTTTGATAACGAGCAGGTCCAGTGTCCACTTACAGCTTTCTTCAATACTAATTTATTCATTTTTAGAAATGATTAGACAATAAAGAGTGTCACAAGTAGTCTTCTTCCTTTCTCTCTCTCTCTCTTTTTTTTTTTTTTAATTTTAATGCAAGAAGTTTAAAAGAAGACCAAGAAGGCATAGAAGCCTAGTTTCCAGAGGTTTTCAGATGAGGTTAATTTACTGACATGAAGCTTTTTATGTTCCATTACAGGTTGCCAGTCAGACATGTAGGATGCTTTCTGTGATGGAATCAAATATAATTAATACAACTGGACTTGAAGCAAGTTAATATATTGAGAGAAAAAAAATACATTTTGTATTAATAATTCAATTAATAATTCAATTGTGTTGACTGAAAACAAACAAACAAACAAAAACAACAAAACAACAAATACCTGAGAATCAGGATATTCTTTGCTTCTTAGGTCTTTTAACAAAATGGTTACATTACTTAATTCATTGTTGGATGTCAGATTTAAAACAAACAAACAAACAAAAAAAAAACAAAAAAAAACCACAAACATATTGCTTGTTGTTTATACTTTTTTAAAGCCTGAAAATAAGACAGTTTCCTCTACTCTTTAGTCCTCTGCAGTGAGTCTTTGACCTTTGGGCATGGGTGTTTGTAGCTGGGAATTCATCCTTTTGAGCCTGCTGATGTTTGAAATAGAGGAGTCACATGTTTTACAAGCATAATACGTTTTTCTTTTTCAAATTATGTGATTTGCAATAGCTTGGTACTATTTATGCACGGTTCTGTGACGTGGGTGCCACCCAAATTCACACTTTTTAAAATTTCAGTCCTCCTCTAGATGACAGGTTTGACTTGTTGAAGAAACATTTCCATTGAGAAATCTCATGGTATCTTCAGGAAAGGGAGTCTTTTAAATAAGTTCTGTTCAGGAATGGAAATGAGGCAACTTGCATCTCCGCATTTCCTAAATCCTCCTTTGCACAGCTCCCATTCTTTCAGTGCATACATTTTATTAGCTCACATCCTCCATCATGATATCCTGTAACTGCACAGGACAGACAATCTAAGTAGGGAGCACCATTTTCCTGGTAAGGACATCTACAATGCAAAGCTCTAGGCTTGTGCTGTGAAGTATCTTGTCATCAAAATCTGATTTCAGTACATCACAATTTTCTTTGGCCTGGAGTAATGTTCCTTAAATTTCATGTGTTGTTACCTTTCATTTCTAATCTCAGTTACATCTTGCAGAGTGGCTCACAGAAGAGAACAAGGTGTGCTTCTGGATAGTGAGGGTTTCCCAGTTTATTCTGACATTTATTTTGATTCTTTCCTGATCCTTATTTCCATGTGGTACAAGCCCGATGATGTAGAAAACTGGTGGTTGCCATGGTGCAAGTTTTTATATGGTCACAGCACTCCTGGAACAGGAAATAATGCTGCTTCTCAAGATAAATCTGATGTTAATTACACAGTGAACTTTAGACTAAAAGAGTGGCTTAAATGCCTGTTTGTCATTTAAACTATTCTTCTATAGCTCTTCCGAGTTACTGAAATATTAATGTTAATATGAAAGTTAATTTCTAATTATTAGTAAAACAGTACTTTCAGATATGACAGTATAGTTTATTCAAGAGACATGTGCTGTGGACCATAGTAAGTGAATAACACTGTTCATTTCACTTTGCTAATCTTTGTTTAAACATTATCAAGCTATTTTATTCAAACCTTCTTATCTGCATATGTTTCAGTGAGTATGGTGGAGAGACTTTACAAGGACCAGCGTATGGACCTACAAGTCATTCTGCAGCAGGTTCTTCAACTCCTTCCTCATCCTCAGCATTTCGCCATGTAGTGCCATCTAGACAAATAGTGGAAAGACAACCTCGAATGCTTGACTTCAGGGTTGAGTACAGAGACAGAAATGTGGATGTAGTACTTGAAGACAGCTCCACAGTTGGTAAGGATGTGTAAAAATGACATAAGAATTTTACCAGAGAAGTTTTTAAAAGAAAAAAAGAACAAAAAAACATGTAGCCCCCAAAATCCAAACCATAAAACAAACAAACAAAAAAACAACAAAACACCAACCAAAAATAAAATAAAATAAAAATATCTCCAAAATATCTCCCAAAAAATGCAGCCTCCACAGCTCCTAGCCATTTTCAAATCTCTTTGCAGCTTTAAAAAAGCAAAATTTCACTAATCCTTTGTAAAGGTTAGTGATCTATCAAATATTTATTTTGAAATCTAGTTGTCTTATGGACTTGCTTCAGAAACATAATGAAGATTACTGATTAAGTTGATGCGTGAAAATATAATTTGCAGTAGGATTAGTGTGGATGCAGTCCGCTAATAAGCAGATGATCTTGGCATTTCCTTTTTGAATCTCTATAGCATCATCCTTTTCTACATAGGATTAGTGATAAAATTCATAGGAATTCTTGCAATTATGAAGAGCATTGTTACATCCTTTTAAAAAATTTTATTTGGCTCTTTTGTGGCAGTTAAGATTCCTTTTATCAGATTCTTTTTGTCTTCATTCTAAATCTGATGCATTTTATACAAGTATGTTAGAAATAATGCTGTTCGTACCATTGCAGAGTATATTATTTTTGATACTCACCAAGATGAATTAATTTTCTAAGGAAATTAAATTACTAAGGAGAAAAAGTTTTTTTTGAAGACAGTATACAGATCAAAACAAAGAAATAGGTGATTAAAAAACTTGCAGAACTGTAGCCTTATGTCTGTGATGAAATTTGGAAATTGAAACTTTTTGGTCCTTATTTTTCTTCTCTGCATTTGATTTGGTATTGGATGGTGCCACCTAGTGGTGATGAGTTGGAATTCTTGATCAGTGTTCTGTCTTTGCACTGCACTGCACTGAGTTATGTCCATGCAGAGTAGATACACAAATGGCCAAATCAGAATTGTGCAGCTGTAGTAATTTTTTTCTTATAAACTTCTTTCAGGTATAGGTGATTAAGGAACAGTCAGAAGGTAGTCAGTGTAAGACTTCTGTCTGTTTCTTGGAATATGAAGGTCGAGGACAGCCTTGTGTTTGACAAATAGTAGGATTTCAGCTATGGACTTAAGGAAAGCAGCTTTTGGCTTTTTCAAAGATCTGCTTGGCAGAATCCCAGGAGAAACTGTCTTGAAGGGCAAAAGGACTTAAGGGAGATGTTGGTCTTCAAGGACAACTTCAAAGTACCAGAACAGTACCTTCCCACATGCAAAAAGGGGAGCAAATGTGGCAGAAGGCCAGCACAGAAAAAAAACTTCTGACGAAGCTAAATGCAAAAGAAAGTACAACAAAGGTAAAAGGTACTGTCGGGCTATCCAGAGGGAATACAGGCTTGACAGAGTATGCAGGTTTGGAGCTAAAGGAAAACCAAAGGTCAGGCAGTGCTGAAAGCACTAAGAGATAAAAAGGGCTTCTGTAAGAACCCAGTACAGTCAGCATTAAAAGAAAAGCTCAGGAAAATGCGAACCAGCTGTTCAATGGCAATCTCTGAATTCAGTGTGTGGAAAGATTATGGAGCAAAATCTTCCTGGGATCCGTTTCTTAGCACAGGAAGGAAAAACAAAACAAAACCAACCAACCAACCAAAAAAAAAAACCAGGTGATCCAGGGCTAGCCTGGATTTGATAAGGATAAATTATGCCTAATTGTATTGCCTTTTATGATGTGATAACTGTCTCTGTGGACAAGGGGAGAACTGGATGTTACTTTATCTGATAAGGCCTTTTCCATACTCTGCTGTAGTATTCCTGTAGTAATATTCTTGAGATGAGGACTGGGTACGTGAGCTTAGAATGTAGGCAGGTATTTGCCTGAACTGCCAGGTTCAAAGTCTGGTGAACAGTTGCTAATGTAGTGCCACTCAGGGGCTGATCTTGGGGCCAGTGTTGCTTGATGTCTTTATTAGAAACCTGCTTGTCAAGAAGAGCACTCCAGGCAAGTTCACAGGCAGTAGCACAGCAGAGAAAGTGGCTGATGTTCTGGAGGGCAATTCTGCTATCAAGAAAGACCTGGACAGCCTGGAGAAATAGGCAGACAACAGCCTTACGAAGCTCAGCGAAAGCAAATATGAAGTTCTGCATCTGGGGCAGGATAACTCCATGTTATACCATCTGGTAATAGGCCAGAAAGAAACTTTGTGGGGAGAGGAAAAGAAAAAAAGAGGCAGATCTGGAGGCTCATCAGTAGTGCACTCTTTCAGTGCACTACTGCAAGGATGCCAGCTGCATCCTTGGCTGTGTTAGCAAGAATATAGCCAGTGGATCCAGCGGAATAATTTTTCTCACCTATTCAGCACTTGTGAGACTGCATCTGGAGCAATGCATCCAATTCAGGGGTACCCAGTACAAGAAGGATGTTGTGGAGTGAGTCCAGCAGTAGTCAGCAAGATAGTCAGGAGACTTGAGCACAAGGTGACATACAAGTAGAGGCGAAGAGAATTAGAGTTGTTCAACCTGGAGGAGAGAAGGGGAGAGGTAGAGACCTTATTACAGTCTATAACTGATGGAAGGACACAGAGAAGATGGAGCCAGGCTCTTCTTGGAGGAGCATAGTGATGAGATAAGAAGCAAAGGACACAGATTGCAACATTAGATATGCTGAATATATTTGTTTATTTTAATTATGAGGGTGGTCAAGTACTGCAGCAGGTTGGCCAGAGAAGCTGTTGAGCCTCCATCCTTAGAAGTGTTCAAGAGTCAGCTGAACAAAACCTTGACTAAACTGGTCTCGTTAGACCTCTGAACTTGTTTGAGTTGGCCTTGGTCTACGTGACCTCCTGAGGTACCTTCAGCCTAAATTATTTTGTGCCTATAATAGCTACAGGAAGAAGACAGCATCAAAATTTGCAAAACACTCAAAAAGCTGTCAGACCAGTCAAGCTGTGTGAACGCTCTAGTTCCCTGTGTCAGGAGTATTGGTCGTGGATTTGTGGTGCACACCACCTTTATTGCTGGCAAGGTGCATTGCTTCAGGTAGCACGCGTCTGCAGATGTGTGGATAGCACGTGCAGTGTAGAACTACTGACATATTGTCCAAATTGCCAAATCCTCATGTGATTGTGTGAATCAGATTCATGCTCTGTGATTTTTAGCTTCATTTGTTCTTTGCTGTTTCAAGTGCGTGTTACATTGATAACTACAGTAAAACTGATTTTGTAGTAAGTTTTTTTTGCTCATTTATGTGCTGTAATTCAGTAATGTTTGAGATGGTGGTAAATGTGTCTGCTTTATATGTGTTTTTCTTGACGTTTTATTCCTTTTCTCTTCAGGAGATATCAAACGTATTCTAGAAAATGAACTTCAGATTCCTGCATCTAAAATGCTGCTGAAAGGGTGGAAGACTGGAGATGTAGATGATAGTGTAAGTTTTCAACTGTGTTTTCAGTTACCTGAATTCAGTGTTTCAAACTGAGGCTCTGAGGGTGGGGGGTTAAAATGCAAGAATTGTGAGTTTCAAACAGTGTTAGATGTCTTAGGTGAAAGTAATACAAGGAACACTTAAGTTAAAACATTACCAAAAAATCACTTTTTGTTGTTTTTATTTAAAACATGTCACAGCTACAAAAATATTATTGAATTCATAGTAAGTACATCTTGAAACTAAAATTTGATGGTGTTGTCAAGAATTAAAAGACGTAGAATAAACTAGTATGTCAAAATCAGCAAATGCTGTATATTTACAATATTTACAATGATTTTTCTTTCCTCAGACTGTTTTAAAAACTCTACACTTGCCAAAAAATAATAGTCTTTATGTTCTAACACCTGACCTGCCTCTTCCTTCTTCAAGTCATTCTGGGTAAGTCTTTTAGCCATATGTTCTACTTGTATGATTCTTTATTTTTTTAATTATTATTATTTTTTATTTATTTTTATTTTTATTATTTTTGTGAAGCCACATCATGTATCCTTTTAGGAACCTGCAACCAGTTTTAAGTGGTTGAAGAGGCGAGTGTTGGGATTAACTACCTCAGCACCTTACTGTTGAAATTAAGGGAAAAGTGGTTTGGTTTTTTGTTTGGTCTACAAAAAAATTCGTGTGCTACATGAATTACTTAGGTGCATACAGAATTTTATACCTTCCAGGTGTGGTGACTTTCATTTCCATTGGGAGTAAGTGTTTTTAAATTAAAGCTGGCCTTTCATAATGTGTTGCATTAGGTTGATTCGTTTAAGATAAACTTGTAGAAATTGTTACCAGCTGATCAGAATTTTCTTTCTGAAATATTTGTTATATTATTTCATTGTATCTTGGACTTTTAAAAATGTACATAAATAGGCTGAATAACTACTTTTGTCTAAGTAGGCAGGGTATCTCACTGATTTCAATACTTAAAAAGTTAACAGAGTGTTCATATGTCAGTGAATATTGCAAAGGTTTGAAAATTAAATGCTTCTTTATGGAAAACAGAATCCTTACTGTTAGAGAGCAGTTTGCAGTTTCTTTGCTTTCAACGTTTTGTCTTGTTTTCTTTCCTGTCCATCTGTTTCTCAACGGTAGACACAGATGTATTCGTACCAGGAAAACCATTAATTTTATTCCGTGGCCACTAGAGGGTGCACGGTAATTGAGTCTAAAAAAGTAGCTCTGGTCCTAAGATGTCAAGCAAGCAGGGAGGATTCTACTTTGAATTGATCAAATTGCATAGTCATTAGACAAGATTCCCTTCAAGTTATCTGAAGAGGGAATTGCTTTTCTGCTGTTGTAGTTAAAGAGTGGAATATTCTACAAATATGACAAAGGAAATCCTTTGACAATCAATAGAAATGAATAGATGGTTTCCCTATGACTAAAAGTAGTCCCTGTAGTACTAAGAAGTTATCTATGAACATAACCCGTGTTCTGTGGAAGAAACAAGAAAACTGATCTAAATTATAGATAATAAACAAATAATAGAAACATTAAGAGAGGGAATAGCAGTGATGGAACAGAGGGTGGTAGTGAGCTGAGATGCAAGTTGTACGTACAAACATGAGCTGTGGCTGTGTGTGAGGACAATAAGCCATTGTACTTAAAGAACTACTTGAAGAACAATGAAAATACTGTGGAAAAACAATGTAGATGCTTTTTTTTTTAATTCATTTTGCAATTTTATTATTTTATACATGGTTATCTTGTGTATTGTCATTTTAATGTCTTTGATTTTGGAAAGAAATCTAGACTCCAAAGAATGTAGTTTATTTCAACTGAAATAAACTATGTAAAAGCAACAAGCTCTTTATAAAGGGTTCCCAGTTTTTTTTGTTGGATGAACAGTTTAAAAGAACTTTATTTCCTGGTAAAATCAAAGTGGTTGTTACCTTTACAGTTTATACTTGTTCCATAGAGGAGATTTAGTTTTGGATATTTTTAAGATAAATTTGGTAGCTTTGGGATAGCAAACGATGATTAATTAGTGGCTACTTAAACAAGGATAATTTGAAGGCTAGATCATCTCCCTGAAGTCATAAATTCTAGATGAAAGGGGAGGCTTGCCTCCAATTAAAGCATCAATGCAGATCAAAACACATCTAATTGAAGCAATGTACCAAACCCAGTTACACTGTTTACTGCCTACTGTTAGGTCAGTTATTATTCAGATTAGTTTGTTGCCCACAATTTTTAAAAGCATGATGCTCACATGTATTATTAATGGAAATTAAAGAACTTTGCCTCCTACTTTGTGAGTTCATCTGCTGTTTTCTTCAACTGCCTTCTGTTTTGAACTAGAGATAAATAGTCGTGATTTGAATATCTCCAGAAAGTGATATTTGAAAAGCCTATGATTTCAGTACGTGGTATTTTATGGATATGCCCTTCATAAAAGGAGCAATCTGGTCACAGCTCTATGAACTCTGGTCTGTGCCTCTTCTTGACGCTCAGGGAGAGGAGCATTTGAAACATCCTTTTCCAATGTATTGGTAGGTAGGCGTTGAAGTTTGTGGCAGACTGTATGCACTTAACCCAGAACTGACTGGCATCTAAATGTAATGACAAAACGATCCCACAGTTTAAACAAGCAAAAATCTCCTAGGGCATCTTCATTCATCGGTGGCATATCTAAAGCTTTTATAGGTAATAGAAACCCAGTGAATTACTACTGCATGCTAGTAAATTGAAGTGTAAAGATTAAATTTAAATGTCAAATACCACCTGCAGGGTTGGCAAAGCCATACCTATCCACGTACAACATCTGGAACAATAACAACATGGTCTGTGGGCTGTGGATATAAAGAAGGATGATTTCTGGTGAATTCCTGCCTCATCCCAACAAAGTAATTCACTCTCTCCCTCCATGCTTCCCTTGATCTTGCCTCCCTCTTGCGGTGCTTCAGTTCCCCTCATGCATTTTGTAGCACCCGTGTCACTGTTTCACCTTTGTAGGTTGTCATCCTGCCCCGGCTCTGTTCTTCAGCTGAAATCCCGGTAAGCAGGTAGTATCAAACAACAGGGTATGCTGTATGAGAACAGATCATATGGTCGTTCTTTGTCATCAAAGGCCAGAGGAAGGCAGTATAAAAAGATTATGCTTTCTACTGCAGTCTTTTATGAAGGTGGGCAGCAATTTAGGTCCCTTTCCTCTACTCAGCTATTGATTTACACCCAGTATTTGAGTCCTTTACAGCATCGTCAGTTCTCCTTGAAACTAGTAAATGTGTACAAATCTGCTGGATGGCATAGGTGGGTGGAGAGAAACACAATTTCCTTTAGAAAACAGTCTTAAAACAGAAAGGTGCCAAAGAATGTCTATAAATAATTGTCCAAGGGGAGAGATTACTTGCACTGGCATTTCAGATTAGATTCTTCACTTCCTTACAGTGGCTTTCCTTCCCTTTAGTGCCTCAGGTGCTTCTTGCAAACTAGCAATACTCAGTTCAGGAAAAAAGGGTGAGGACAATGCAATAAAGAGAAGCATCAAAAGCATAGGCATGTGAGTCTGGACACATAGCCAGGTCTTCCTGATGGTCTTCTCTTTCAGTCTTGTGTGTTCTGGGAAGTGCTGTTTATATATATATATTTTCCTTCATTGTCACTTTGATTAATGGATGTCATTTAATTTATATTCATACTTTATTTTTTATTTTTTGCTAAATAGCTGAAAATGTTAATTTCTTTTTTATACTTGATGTATCACCAGAAAGTTCAAAGCAGCTAAAAGCTGTTTGACCAGCTGAATGTCTCGGCGATGATTACAGTGCTAGATTTTGCTAAGTGAGTGTAATTTATTTAAGAAATGTAATTATCTGTGTGGATAGGAATAAAAATTATATATACATGTCAAGTAATGGGTCTGTGTTTTGCTGAGTACGTGCTTTTTAGGTTGTTGCAGAGCAGTGGTGGTTGTGGCATGGGGTTTTGGTATACGTTATCAACTGTTGCGGAGTGTTAATTAAGAAGGATGTAACCTGCAACTCCAGTTATTAGTATTGTCTGTTTAGCTGGACAGGAGCAGTGCCTTGCTTTAGTTACTTTGAAAGCTTCAATAAGAATGGTAAGATTAATGTTTTATTTTCACATCTGCTCATGAGACAGTTTAAAAATCCTGAAGTTTAAAATGCAATAGAATGTAAACAGAAGGGCTTCTGCTCATTTACATGTTAGCCAGATTTGCTAACTGATTGCTGTTTGAACCTAATCTACCATCTCCTGCTGCATTAGCTACAACAAACATTACATTTACATACTGATTTCTTATTTTGTTTTAATGTAAATAATCTGTAATTACAGTAAATTTGGACTTCTGTTGACATGAGCTTGTATAAATCTGTAAGTTTAAAATGGAAATGTTAATTACCTTGTGTCATGCCTATTTATATAAAATTCAGAGATATTGGGGGAAATCTTGTGACTGAAGAAGCTACTGCCTGATTTTGAATGCATTTCACTTAAATAGAGAAGTAAAAAAAAAAAAAAAAAGAACTGAAATGAAATGGATCATTTGCTGTTCACTGATTAAAGATACACTTTTGGCTTTAAAGTTAAAAAATATATATATTACTAAAATTTCAAAGAAAAATACTATTAAGTGAAGTATTACATCAGAAATCAAAGCATTAAGGCATTAATTTAAAAATGGATATAACCAATGCATTTTATATATTGTTACAGCACAAAAAAAAAATAGTAAAGCCGAAAGTTTAAAATATAATAAATAAAAACTCTAAAATCATCTTACTTCAGCATTTCATAGACTGATTGAACAGTTGCTGTCCCCTTAAATTTAGCATCATTTGTTATTACACACTTTGAGGCTAAATATCGTTTCTCTTAATTTATTACACTTGTTTATAAATTGTGCTGTATTGGAATTTGGGTGGAGTAGCTAGTGAATAAACTCCTTCCCAACTGTTAATTGAGCATTTGGTATTTCCAGTTTCAAGCAACTTCTGTTGCTTGACATTTAAGTTTTAGGGAGGAGTGGTTTTTGTTGCATATTATAAATTTCAACCTCAGTTGAATCCTGGTCCATTGCTGAGGTTTCTACTCATTGTGATAATGCTGATAACCAAGGCTATATAGGCAATCCATATGAAATCCTAAACTGATTGAGGTTTCTCTTGAAACTAAAACTGGTCAGAGCAATGACTGCATGACTGGGCTCAGGTCTGTTTTCTTTTGTCTGTTCTCAGACTTGCTCCTTTTTTTGGGTGTTGTCAGATTTCCTGTATTGGAAGATTGGTACCTGAAAGTACTTTCAAGTGCCCTTGGCTCCTGTGCCTAATAGTGAAAGCATAATCATCCAGCTGAGAGGAAAAAATGTAACATCAATGTGTATAACCTATCAGCAAATGCTTTGGAGAGCTAGGGCTTGCAGTAGGGGGGAGATGCTGCTGACAGAAGTGGCCTACTTTTAAACCTGTTTCTAGAATTTGATTTCCTTTCACCACTAATTAATCTGCAAATTAATTAAATTCTGTTAGTGTTGATGGCAAAAAAAAAATAAAAAAAATCTTAACTTCAATGGGAAATAGAGTTTGGCCCTGATTTTTCTTTTCTTCTTCTTCTTTTAATGCAGATATTTCATTTGGAAGATTGTAGTCGACTGATAGCATTTGCAGGAAAATGAAACTGCTGCAAACACTGAAGCCATAGCTTTAGAAATGTACATAGTGTTCAAAAGCAGCCGTCTTAGTACAGTTATGTGCATCTCTTAAAAAGTTTATTTTTTATTTAAAAAAAAAAGGCATTGGGGGAGAACACGAAGGTTCAGCTTACTGTCAAGGAGCAGTCTCCTGCTTAAAGAACTTCATTTTGTGCATTTGATCAGAGCTTTAATGGCTGAAATTGCAATTTTACGGCAATTTATTTTATGTTTGGAGTCAGAGTTTTATTGCCACAAAGAATTTGGGGTAATCCAAATCCCTGCTGGAGGAAACGAATCTGGGAGGAGACTACTGACACTGCTGGCTCTCTAGCTCCATGTACTAACCAACCCAGTCTCACAGGGGAGCGCTGGTATGTGGAGGAGTTGGTGGGCACATCCTGCCCGTAAGTGCTCGACAACTCCTCCTCCCTTTGACTTCAGAACATACGTGGCCCATGTCTTCTGGCTTCAAGGCCATATGAAGTTTTGATATGGGACCCCAAAGGATTGGGTCAGTTGACCCAATGTATGTTTCTATGTAAGCATTATCCTGTACAATTCTTCATTATGTTCTTTGTTTTCTGAAGAAAAGGTGATTTTTTTTTTTCTCATCCAGCTTAATTTTCAGCCTGCTCTTTGACTGTATTTGGCTATGAATGTTAACAAGCAAATTCTCAATATTTAATGTTTAGCTTGTCTTATTCAGAAATCCAAAATGTAGAGGTGTCAAAATCATTACTTACTTTGAAAACTGAAGCTTTTAATTTTAAAGCACTTAATTTAAAATAACTGTGTTTGAAGAGTTTTTTCTTTCTTTTCTAAATATTTGCTGCTATCACATCCAGATGAAGTAGAGAAATGGAAAACCTTTCCTATGAACACATACATATCTGTTTTTCTTGAGCATACCATATTTTGGATCTGGATGGTATTTAAGTGTATGTATTATGCATACCGTGAGAGACTGGGGGTTTGATCTAACTAGCCTGTTTCATTCTATGCTTACATCAGTTACAGAATGAAAACATGAATCACGCTATCAGTTTCCATCTAAAGATTTTCAGAAAGTCAAAAACAACAACAAAAAGCTGTAATAGAGCCTTGTGTGACCCCGTATGGAATCCGGAGTCATTCATATATTCATTAATTAATATTATTTTTAGAACAGTTACATATATCACTTGCCTCCAGTATTAAAAAAAAAAAAAAAAAAAAAAAAAAAAAAAAAATCAGAACCTGAAAAAGCACAGCAGTGTATTGTAGTTGCTCCGGAACATTTGCCAAAAGAAAATAAGGTTACGGCAATGCTAAACTTACTGTTAGGGATCAAATTAGAATTACCTTTGAAAATAGGTGTGCATCTTTTCAGACTGTTTTTTTCTCCTATGCAGGACTGTGAAGTATTTTTAAATTTTTCTAGCCTGTTTTTAAAAGATTTTGTGACAAGTGGAGCTAAGTTAACATTCGATGTAGATTAATTATTTCAGTTACATATGTAGTGTCTGTCATACATTTGAACATACCTAGCATTAACAAATAATTAAATTCATCTTCCTTATTACAAAAACACATAAAAGACGAGAGAACTGGCACTTCATGATTTTGTTTTGTCGTGTGTGATTGTTATGTTTAAGATGTCACAGAATCCAAATTATGTTGCTGAGTTTGTAAGGTAATTTTTCTTGAGATGCTAAAGCAAATAGTGCATCTCTTGCTAAAGCATCCATTGAGTATTGCATGGGTTCCTTGCCATCTGAGCAGCCAAAGTGCAGATCGGTAATTACAGTAGAAGGAAAAACTAACAAATCAAGACTCAAGTAATCCAGCAGTCTTGCCTTCTGGTGTCTTAAGATACAGCTGTGCTCATCTGCATACAGAATTTGTCCTTTATTGCTTAGAGGAATGGCATGGTGAAGTGTCATCAAACAGTGAAGATCTGAAGGAAAAAAAATTTTGCATTCTTATAAGAGTGTGTTACAGGAAAAAAAGAAGTAGATAGACCCAATTTAATTCCATATGCCACTGAACAGGTCAACTCTGCATTAAATACTATTTAGAAATGTAGCAAGGTATGTTATAGTGCATTTTTGTAACCTGTATTAATTCATACGTAGCTGGAATTGCCCTGTCTATAGCTAAGTCCTGTTTTCTGTTTTGAAAAGTAGATAGTTGCATAATTTTGTACCTAATTAAACAGGATGCCTTTTTAACATCTAGATGTTTTGTTACTGGGAAAAAAAAATCTTTGTGACTTAATGTTGACCTGTTTAATCTGTATCTTAAGATTTTCTTTTAGCTTATGTTATTAAAGACATTTTAATATGCAGTTAAAATAATTTGAGCAGAACTAACTTTTCTAAATAGTCAATAACCACAAGAGAAATTTTGCTGTGGTTAGTTTTCCAGTTCTAATTAGCTGGGTTTATGTGCTTTGAATGAAACTAAGGCATTTCCATTTGATTTATGCTTCAGGTAACCCTAGCGAAGTGAGAGCATGCTTTGCCTTATTCTACTTACCATCAGTTTTTAACGTACATTGTAGCTTGGTGTTTTGTCTGGTCATCAATATGCTTACAAGCCTAATGGCATAATGAGTGCTAAATATACCTGATGTTTGTGAAGATAATGTGACTCTCAATTTTGAGAATATTTAACATTAGAAGAGCTTTAAAGGCTGCAGTCATCTTATTAATGAAGGAGTTCAGGAATGGCCTTTGGTCATTCTCAGCATGCTTCCTTGCATTTAAGAGTGAAAAGAGAGATGATAATGTTGTGCCTGGACTTGTCCATGTAGAGTTTAGGGTACCCTGGGGTTTTTGCATCTAACTGTAAAACAAGCTGTAACATGCTTATCCCTGATTTTCTTGTTTTTCTTTCAACCATTTCAGGGCCTTGCAGGAGTCATTAAATCAAAACTTCATGCTGCTCGTCACCCATCGAGAAGTCCAGCGGGAGTACAACCTCAACTTCTCAGGAAGCAGTACCATTCAGGAGGTGAGTGGTGTTTCACAGCTGAAGAATAAATGTAGCTCGTTATAGCTAATGCCCGCTCTGTGAAAGAGAGTTTACATGGCCTAGTTGGAAATTCCTTTATTTTATTAGTCATCTTCTTGGTTTAATCAACTGGATCATGAAGATTGCGATAACTTGATTAAAGAGCTTGGCCTAAAAAAAGTTTGCAATTAAGTTATGCAGAAAAGATGTTACTTTATACATTGTAATAGCAAAATATGTGAACAGCCTCTATTGAGGTACTCTACGATGATGAGGAAGGGCAGTTGTTCAAATTACATTTTATTTTTAAGCCCCTTGAACCTTTTGCTGTCTTCCCTTCTGTTAAGCAGTTCCATCTCTGTTTTGTAGGCACCTCTACCATTGCTGGTTGCTATTATAATGCTCTAACTCTTCCTGGCTTGGTAGCCAAATGGTTTCTGTGTATAATGGATGTCACTGCCATTCTGTCGAATGGCCAGCAAGGGGTGATATTGTAGAGAACTTCATCAGAATTAAGTTCTATAGAAACAAATATCTCTTACATGAATCGGGACGCTCAGAATTTAGAGCAAGCAGTCCTTGCATATTTTTAATTCCTTTCTGAAGCCAAAGGTTATTGTCTGATATTGTCTGTGTATTGTCTGATGCTTCATGATGTATCTAAGGCCACATGTTTTCAGTATTACTTCCCAGATAACCCACTAACTTCTGGAAATATGACAAACAATATAGAAATAAGAATCTTAAGGATTAACTTCACAACATATTAAGATTAAACGTTTGCTCTTCACATTAAACTTGTGTTTGCTATTGATTTGTGTCTTCTCTCAGTCTTGTTGAGGACATTTTATGGAAGTTTTTCTCATGAGGTGAGGTGACATTGTAGAAAGAATTATTTTAAGTTCCTGTAACATTTTTATATCAGAGAAATAGCCCATGTAACAGTGAAAAGTAATCACTAACTGTTTTGTTTTCATTGCGAACCTTATTCTTAAGATGTAAGTTCTATTTTTTTTCCTCTGCATGAAAGCATTTTACCTTTTTAAACCTTTAATATTAAATTCTGTTAGTTTTTTAATACAAGCACACAAATGAAGTTGCATCAGTTTGTTTTTTGAGGGGCCAAGCTCTTACTCTTTAAAAATGAATATTTTAGTAATTTATTTCTATAAATCTTCAAATTACTCGTAATTTTAAATTGTGAGATTCTAGAAGAAAACATATCACACATATGTATCACCCATTTATTTTTATCTATGCTATATCAACTACTACTCTCCAGTCTTAACGGACCCAGTAAGCTGTGATGGTGCATGGGAATTTAGGCTTTACATGCACTGAAATTTTCTTGTTATTAATGGTAGGTTACAGTCAGCATGTTATCATACAGAGTCAACTCAATTTAAAAGTGAGTTACAATTTTCTCCCTTAAACAACCAAAAGCTCCCCCTGAGTCTACCACCCCATACCCTTATTAGCATGAGCATCAAACCTTTATTTGCCTTGCTCCTTTGTGTCTAAGTATCACATCCAATATTGTGTATAAAATTATGAAGATAATTAATTTCAAGGGTAAAATGAAAAAAAACTGTGGACTTGTGCACTTGATAGTGAACAGGTGAATATGTCTATACAAAGTCTTGTGGAAATCACTGGGGACTTGGCTGAGGTAAAAGGGTTGGCGAACATTTGTCTAATTACAGAAAACAAGAGCTGTTTTGTATGTTAACTCCCTAATGACTTTTAATTTTTTTTTTCTTTTAGCATAGAGCAAACATTGTAGCAAATGCTTGAAATCTAGTTACTTTGTGTGATTTGGAGAAATTGGTGATACCTTTCATTCTTTTCGATGCCATGTCTCAATTGTTTCCAGAGACCAATAGATTTTTTTTCCTTCACTCTCATGTTCACACTTTAACAAATTAATAGTTTACTTTCCTTCTGGTATATTTTCGTAATCATGGAAAAGCTTCGTGGAAGTTGCAGTTGCCAACCACAAGAGGGCAGGAAGGACTATTCAATTATTACCTAAAAATGCCATTCAGTGTTTTCAAATTAGCTTCTGGTATATTAACAAAAAGGAGTATAATGGCCAAGTTATTGTTTGATTTACAGATAATTGGCATATTGCAGGGAGGAGACTTAATTTCACCCTTTTAAATTAAACAGGGAGATTTAAAAAGACATAAAATATTCATTAATGTTCAGTGATTATAAAGCAGTGGCATATATTTATTCTACCTTTATTACTGTTTCGATGGGAAAATACTGCAAATATTTCAGAAATCGAGTTGGCCATACTGACAAGTTGAAGTGTTTAAGCAGTGTTAATGCAATCTACTCACATGGTATATCCTATGCAGAAAGATTCAAAATGACTACATCAATTATTAAAAGAAATATTTAAAATTCTATAAATGCTCTACTGCTTGCCACAGTTGGGTGCAACTCTCTCTCTAGGGCTAGTTGTTAGGTTTGTTGTTATCTTTTCCTTAAAATTTACAGAACTAACATTTTTTCCAAGTTTTCCTAAAATCCCGCTACCCTTTCAAAACTGTCATAAATATTTTGCAAAGGATTAAATGCAGAATTCAGTGAGCTATCTGCTGTGCTTTACTGTTGCTTCAATTCTCTGTTTTCGTTGTTTAGAATATATGTTTAATAGTAAATGATATTCAAATGATTTCTTATTTAAAAAATAAAAAATCTTGCTGTTTAATAGGGAAACAACCTGACAGAAAATTCTCTAATGTGAGAAGCCTGAAGTTGTAGTACTCAGGTTGGCTTCCACAATTTCTCTTGTATTAAATCGTATTTGGATTTTGGATGATACATGAAAATGCTTTTTTTTTTTTTTTTCCACTTGCTTTATCTGCATCTTCAAGTCTTCACATATTAAGGTATAATTTCTCATTTTTAAAAAATCTAAGTTACTCTCAATTATATTGATGCGGGCTCATCAGCCTATAGGGAAACTTAGAAATGAAATAAAAAACGAAACCTAATTTATCAAACTGGATATTGGATTTTTTTTTTTTTTTTGGTGAGTCAAGCAGGGGAGTGGTTAAGTTAGAAAGTTAATGATAACATGTTGGCCTAAATTGCAAATTAATCTGTGTCACAGGTTTCTGACATCTGTTTGTTCTTGTAAAATTGCAGTATTAAATTAATTCTGGGCAGATACTGTTCTGGGAAATATCATGATTACTTTTTTCCATGATCCGCATTTTAAGGGGAAATTAGTAGGGTTTGTGCCAGTTTGGAGACTGTAAATTAATACATTTCCAATGTATTTTATGGTTAAATAAGGACAGTTCTAACAAATTTGAACTGCTAATACATAAAAGACTAAAACAAGTTTTCTGCCTGAATACATACTGTTTATTCTGCTAAAATAACTTGTGGAGGTTATCCCTTGCTGAAGTAAGAGAACTTTTAAATTTTGATTTAACAAGCTATTTGCTAAATATGCATATATTTAATGCATTGCATTATTTAACATACATTGTTTTCTGGCTATTCTGATGAACTTATTTTAAAACTAATATTTTTGCTGTGTTTCAATTTTTTCAAGTTGTAGTTGCATTATTTGATAGAGGTGAAAGACAGCCCTTTACATGGGGGGAATATTTAAATATTTCATGGAAAGCAAGGATACTCCTATCCTGAAGTATACACAGTCAAACTAATTTGCAGAAAGCTTTTTGAATTGAGAATCTCTCTGTCACAAAAGCACGCTTTGCACTTTTTGTTGTTTTAATCGGCGACATGGGAAAAAATTCAGTAAATTTTATCAAACTGGATACCTCCATTAAAAACAAGGAGTTTGCATTTGTCTGTTTTACTGTCGGTAAAGACTTTGAAGCCTTTTTTGTGATTCCTGTGTGCAGGATTACAGAAGTATCCAGTGTACACAAGCTGTGGCTGTTAAAGGGTGGACAAGTTAAATATGCAGAAACCTCAGGCCTCTTGGAGATCAGTGATTTTTTTTTTGTATATTTTTTTTCTAACTGTTGGAGATTCCAGTTGAGAATACTAGATAAAGCATGTACTAGGTTCTATAATTCCTAGTAGAACATAAAATCTGTACAAACAATGCAAGGATGGGTCCCTAAATACAGGCTGCCTTTGCATAGCTGCATCTGCTCTTTATTCCATTCCTTTAGCCAATAAACTAATCAGAGGCTAGTATCTTAGCATCCCTGTCACCTGTCATAGGTAATATATTTGTTCTTTGTTCCCTATAGACTTACTGGCTAAGATGGAATAAGAAAAGCAATGTATCCAATAGCACTACAGGCAGGAGGAGGAACTATTTGTACACAGAACTGCTTGGGATGAGAGAAACTATAAATTCTGTGTTGCCAGACCCTAAAGACAGTTTGAAGTCCTTTGTACTGAATTTGTAAAAACTTTTTTGATAAGTTGATGAATGTGAAACAAGATACAAAAGCACCATTTATGCACTCGCAGGCAAAAAAATGATTTGAAGGGCTTAAATAATTGCAATACATAAATATAGGTGAGCAGACTAATTGCTTTCAACATACAGAAAAAAAATCCAGCTGAAGGTTTTGTACTTTTTTTTTTTACATCTGATTTATGGTATTTGTACAAAATATTTTCAAACCAATTACTGTTGTCTGAGATCACCCATAGGAAGGGTCAGACATCGGTGGTGGGACACAAAATGTATGTGTAGATAACATTGTTCTTTGCAGTTACTTAACTACAAAGTTGTAATTTAATACATTTGCCAGGCATAATAATACAATCATCTCCAAATATTGTGCATACATTAACAGTTTCAGAACAGATGTTATATTCTTGAGATTTTTAATTGCTCTAAAATAGTTACAAACTATTCTTATGCTGATAAAAATCAATAACACTTCTTTTTGTATTTAATAGATGCACAGACATTCCACACTGTTGTTCAATTATTTTCTTAGTATCAGAAAACTAGTAAAATAGGTTGTGGCTATATTGATTGTACCTGA